AAAAGGGATTGATAAGATGTTGGTTGAAAAAGGGAAAAAGAAAAATTCAAAAAAAACAGTTAAAAAAATTAACTTTGAAAGACTAAAAATCATGGTAAATAAGCCATGAATTCTATGTGCAGTATTCCCCTAGCGCTGGAGTTCTCCCGCTCTCCTTGATTGGTAAACTTGGTCTTGGCTTGCTGGCTGTTGTGCTGATATTCTGGGGGAGGGGCCTGGTGCCGTGGTTCCCAAATGTCTTTGCCGGAGGCGGAATTGCCCCACCCTTGTGAGTCCGGGCTAAGTAATCCGCTCGGGTTTGCTCTCGGGAGCTTTTGTTTCCTGCAAGCTCTCGGTACAGCTTTGGAGGACCAGAGTGAAAACGGTGGCCTCCCAATCTCTGTCCTGGAGGAGCTGAGAACTCGGGGCCCGCTTCTCAGTGCACCCCCAGAGAAAAGCAGTCACTCCCGTCTCCCTGGTCTCCAGCCGCACTCCGTGCTCACCCGGCCTGTGACCGAGCATTTCTATCTCTGGCACTCGATCCTGTGTGGAGTCTCCAAACCCAGCAGATCCCTCCCGCTCCGCTCCTCCCGGGGGTGGAAAGGGAGTCTCCCTGGATCTGCCGCTTGTTGGGTCCCTGCTGGAGGAGCAGTGGCCCGACTGGGCCGCGGATCACAGTTTATGGCCACCCCGAGCTGAGAGCCTCGGCTCTGTCTCTGCAGCCGGCTTCCCCGCTCCGATACCTGGGAGCTCTGCTGCAGTCAGGCACCCCCGGTCTTTCTGTGACCCCGAGGGTCCTGAGACCACACTGTCCCGCGAGGGTTCCACCTCCCGCTTAGCCACTGGAGCAACGTCCCTCAGCGGAGCCGACTTCTAAAAGTTCCGATTTTGTGCTCCGCGGCTCTAGCACTTGCCAGAAGCGGCCGACGGAGGCCCCCTCCCCCGCCGTCTATCCTCCGGAATATCGCCTCGGATTCACTTCTCCGCACGTCCTACCTTCCAGAAAGTGGTGGCTTTTCCGTTCAGAGAGTTGTTGCTATTCTTTTCTTCGATCTCCTGTTGAGTTCGTAGGTGTTCAGAATGGTTTGATCCCTATCCAGCTGAATTCCTGAGACCAGATGAAATCCAGGTCTCCTACCACTAGGCCATCTTGCTCCGCCCCCTGATTCTAGCTATTCTGACAAGTGTAAGGTAATATCTCATTGTGATTTTGCTTTGCATTTCCCTGATGATGAGTTATGTTGAGCATTGTTTCACGTGTCTGTGGGCCATCTGTACGTCTTCTTTGGAAAAATGTCTATTCAGGGCCTCTGCCCATTTAATCAGATTGTTTTTTTGGTGTTGAGTTTTATAAGTTCTTTATAGATTTTGGATATGAACCTTTTATCAGATATATCACTTACAAATGTCTTCTCCCATTCAGTAGTTTGCCTTTCCATTTTGTTGATGGCTTCCTTTGCTGTGCACAAGCTTTTTATTTTGGTGTGGTCCCAATAATTTAATTTTGCTTTTGTTTCCCTTGCCTAAGGAAACATATCTACAAGAACATGGTACTGACATCTGTTTATTATTAAATTAACTTTCCAGGTAATTTAAAAACTGTTGGTTCCCAGCACTCCTGGGAATATGTGAAATAGAGAATAAGTATTCCTACCATAGAAATAAGCAAATAGGTAAAACTAACATAAAATAGAATTTGTTCAGTATTCAGAATAAGAAAGTGGTAGCTACTTCATCTCAAAATTTATCATCTTGGACATGTGGGAACTAGTTTATTTTTGTTGTGCCTTATAGAGAATAGATATATAGGAGATTTAATTCTGTATGTTACATTATTTAAAGTTATACTTGCACTGATGCAATTTTTTTACGTGTCGTGAAAACTTTAGATAGTGGGCAACTCAAACCAGATACTTCAATCAGCATAGAACGTTCTGAAATTATTAAGTAGTCTGTTTTTTAACAGAGTGTCAATTGTAGGTTACACATCATAGTCAGATGGGATGAGCCACAGGAACCAGGGTAAGAACTTGAGATAAATAGGTGGTACATAGAATCCCTTGGTTGAACACTTTGGCCCAGAGATCAGTTGCTCCAGGAGTATCAGTTGACAGATTTCAGTGATCATCAGAGCCTAGGAATCTGGATTCCTAACAGGGAGATCCAGGAGCTTTGGACAAGGTCCATTCCATGTGGACCTGACTACTGAATCAGGCCCATGTGTGACCATGACCCAGAGATGCTGGCCTGGTACTATGTGGGTGTGGTCTAGGGCAGAGAGCCAAGATGGACCTTGTATCCTCCTGAGGTGGGAACACAGAGGCAAGGTTTCTGTAATTTAAGTTATCTGGGATTGGTATCAGAAGAGCCGTATCTATGATTCTTTAAGGACTCCTACATGGTGGAAGAATGGATTTTGTGGAAGAGTGTACAAAATAAGGCAAATGGTGTTGTTGGTCTGTCAGTCCCTCAAAGGAGCCAGTTTCTCCCATCCAGGGCCCGTGCCCTTGATGGTGTCCCTTTGGTTTTTTAACTCCTACCCTGAGGTGGGACTAATTCCTTCCTAGGGTGGTTAAGAGTAACAGGTGAATCGGAAACATCTAAGACAGTTACTGGTGCATTAAGACTCAGCAATGTTAACAGTCATTTTTATTAAATATGAATTTTTCTTCAGATACTATCCCAACATTCCCCCAATTAGACTTCCCAGATTTCTCTTTCTAGACTTTCAAAGACCATCTCCCCTCCTCACTGACCACCCTGTAATTTTGCATTACATCATCGTGCAATCCCTCCAAAATGTCTAGTTGTCTCCCCTATCAGACAGGCATTATCATGATAGCAGGCAATGCGTTCTTAGGGCCTAGCACAGTGTGCTACACATAATCAGGCACTGAATACACATTTAGCAAATGAATTAATAATTTTAAAGGCCCTCTTCTTTAGGAATTCAGGTTTTTATTTTTCTAATGTGGAAGTAAGCTTGGAAAAGCTAAAGCAAGCTTTTATATTCCTCTGTGGCCTGTAAAACCTCACTACCACCCACACTGTTCTTGAATGCTTTATTTATTTTGTACCCCAAGAAAAATGATCAGTATCATTGCATTAGGTAGCTTCATAATGTAGTCTCAAGGACAGCTCTGAATAGTTTCCAAAGTAATCAATGATATTGCTGTGAAATTGTCACCCAAATGAAGAGCTCTTGTCCAATGACTCCGTGAAGTAACAGACAGTTTTCTTTGTTAACACTTTTGTGGCTAAAGAAGAACCTGTTATCTGCAGCAGTAGTAAAAACTTCTCAGCAGGTGAGAAGTGTCTAAATTTGTTTCTTAGCAGCAAATTCCTCAAAGGAAATGAAAGGCACACAATTTCAGAAGAATTTTCAGTGTACTATTTGGTTTGGAGGGTAGGTGGGGGTGGGTGTTGTATGTCAGAGCAGTGTTCCTAACTCCTTCCAGTCAGTGACGCATAGGACATCTTGTTGAGTTACACCATAGGATCTGTCTAAAAACATCAACTCAATAAAAATTCCTCAAGCACCTACCTTGTGTAAAGAACTGTGAAAGAAGAATTATGCCAATTCTTTCTGGGTCCAGTAGTTCTATAATTTAACAATTTGTCAATCTAGGAACCTCGCCCTCAACCATCTCCATGGATAGGAAATGAGGAATTAGGTGGCTCGCCAAAACATTTAGGAATATTCCAGTGTGGATGTTGATCTAACCCAAATTGTACTCACTGGTTGGAGAAATGAAGAGTAGAAGGAGGCAATCTGAGAGAGAGATTTGGGACAATGGTATGGCGCAGATTGCAGAGAGAGGAGAGACATCTTACCCAAGCAAAACTCTCTCCATAGCCACCCTTCTAGCTCCAATTTCATGGATTTATCATATCTTCTTAATATGGCTTTCCAAATTGGCCTTCTGGTAATAACAATCACAGTAAAACACTAGATAGGCCAACCTTACATTACTGTTTTATATGTATTATCTTATTTAACTCTTACAACAACTCTTTGAAATAGCCACATTATTATTTCTATTGATCCTGGAGCATTGAGTTAGTTTGCCAAAGTCACACTATTACCAAAAAATGGCAGAGCTTGGAAAAATACTGCTCACCGAAGTGGCTAATCTGACTTAATGTGAGTGGCATGGCAAGATCTTTCTGTAGGTCTAGGTCTGAGGACACCATGACTTGCATGTTCAGTCGTAGAGATGACCCAGAATCATGTGAAATCTCAGCATGCAAATTGTTCATACCAATCATGGGGACTTACTTGCCATTCCCAATTAAATCTACTACCCTGAAAAGGACCCCTTTGGATATAACCACAGTATACCCCCCAAACCTCCCCCTCTCCAAAAAAAGGATTTGGAAGCAAGCTGAATTGTCTGGTGGGCTGCCACACTGAACAAATTGCCTGCACAATTGGCACACTCCTTCCCAGCATAGGCATGGTCTAATTGTTTGTTCTTTTACTGCCATCTTGAATAAGGAAAAATCTGGCATTGATTTCAAACCCCCCACCCCAATACTCCCCAGAAAAGCTTTTTACTTCTTGGAGAAGAAAACTTGTCCACTTACCCAAATAAGCATGAATTGAGAAGATCATAATTTTTAGGAGGAGTTTAATTTAATGGAACAATGTGTCAGAACTGGGCCTATGAGAATGAGGTACAATGTCAGTACGAACCAGAAGCAAGAGAATGCTGAGTCTAAGTCATTGAACTAGGCAACTAGACCCCTCCTATTTCTCACTCCCCAGGACCAGGCATGGGAGACAAAGTGACTGTCAAGGGATCTCGAAATTCTAAGATGTCCTGGGGCAGGTTCCTGAGCATGCAGTGAGACATGGCAGTTGACTTCCATCTTTGCTCTGTGGGCTACTTCTCCCAATTACAATGTTTTCAGTCAGCACATGTACCTTCAAAGGCAATCCAATGCCTTTTTCAGTTGGAATGAGTTACTCATTACTGTTATTTTTTTTAACACACTTATTTTTTTCCCCTTTGTTTCAGAAGCTGCCCTTTAAAGACAGGCATTTTACCTGCAGCAAAATGTAAGTACATTTCCTTCTTGAAATGATACCTACTTCTCAGTTGTAATTCCTCAAACCTCCTCGTCTTCACGGCTCCCGTCTCACATTGCTGCCTTTTTAAAGTCTGGCTCAACGAATACAGCCGCAGTGTGAATCTTCCACTTCACACCGTGGGTTTGTCTAGCATCGTGCAGCATCTCACCAACCATTTGGGAAGCAGATTGAGCCCAATCATGGCTGCTACTACATTGCATCTAAAAAGCTGGAAAAAAAGTCAGGAAGAAAAATTAGGTGGTATTCTTCTAGACATGATGATCATGTGACACCAAACATTTGAATACTCAGGTTCTCTCAAGTGGCTAATTTATCACTCTTTGCCCAGTTGTTCCTCACAGTCACAGACTGTTTCCTATTTAATAGCATGGTAGTTATCTTAAGAATGCCTTTCTGTGTGTACTGCATTGCAGCCACGCTGTAAACCCATGTTCTTTCTAGAACGAATCTCCCGTGTATTATGTTTCTTTACTCTTGGTACTCTTAGTGTCTATAGCCAAATTAGAAACCCCCTCTATTTTAAAAAACCAAGTAAAATTACAACGGGTCCAAACTGGGAGTTTGAAATATGAATGTTACATCTGTCTCTGGAATAATTTGATAATACCCAAGTTCAAAAAACGGGATAGATGTGAATAAAGACTCTAGCTATTCAAATGTAGTTCAAATGGTAGTGAGTTGCTTGTCACTACAGATAAGTAAGCAGGAGATCAACAGCCATAAGGTAGAAGGTCAAGCCAGGTAAACCAGGAATGTACGTCAACTCCCAGCTTCTGATTCATACAGAGTTTCCAATGGAGGATGCATGTGAGTAGTCACTGAAAGATTTAATTAGACATTCTTGGACCCAGGAGAATCCAAAGGTCTCACTCTAATTATACATATTATGCAGGTTTTAATAAATTCTCTTTTGAATCATTCAGTCCCTGAGAAAACTAGATATTCAGCTGAACTGCAAGAAAAACTTACTTTTTGCTGATTTCCCGGGATGATATCTTTTGTTTGCTCTCTAGAATAAATTGATCCCATTGCTATACACCAAATATTCAAACATCAGCACAAGCGACATTCACCCTTAAAACCATTCAGATTTTATGTCAAAGTATTACGCATTCACTAGAATTTTTTTAAATGTCAATTTCTGGATTATATTGCCTTGGTCTTTATTGCATTATCAAGACACCTGCATGTTATGAATGTTTTAAGCAGCTTTTACCTATAAAGTCAAGTTAGATTTTATGAGCTGTCTCCCTTTTCATGTGCTATCCTAAGTATTTTATTTGTACAAATGTTAACTTTTGACTGTATTCTTTCTGCTGGACATAGAAATTGTTTGGGAAGACAGTCTGTGTTTACTCTCCTACATATTCATATTCGGGAGTTTTCTCACTATATCTGTCCATTTAGGTTTGTCACTGATCTTAAATGATTTAATGTTAAATACTAAAAGATATTCGGTTTATGTTCATGGTGAAAATTGGATGAAAGGCAATTTAAGATAGCATTTTCAGTCATTAACTGCAAGTGTGCAACTATAAACATATGTGACTATTACCTTCAGATCTCTTTATCAAAATGTTGGTTGAAAGTACCTTGTATCTCCTGGTCTGTGGTGGGGGCAGGGGCGGGGCGTGGAAACAGCTAGCTGTTTCATGTTAGGAGGTTAATTTGTGATCGCTTTATTTTGGCATTTTTTTTCTCAAGCACATACAGAGTGCTTGGTGACCAATTTTATTAGTAAATACTCTGAGAAGTAACCTTGCACCAAGTTTTGCACTCTCCAGACAAAAACAGGTCTCTACACCTCTCCACATCATCTCTGAGCAACTGGTGGAAAGTTGGTCTGACCCATGCAGTCATGGAAACACATTAAAATCACCAGGCGATTGTGACTCGGTTTCATTTTGGCAACCAGACTCCATCAGCCCCTCAGGAGTTGGCATTATGTCCTAATGATGATTGTGTTATACAACCAATACAAATGGAAAACGACCCTAATCAGCATGCATTCAGACAGGGCTTGATCTGTAGTGAATGGCAGGAGGCTTTCCAAGTCAAGGGCCTGGAAATGTGTATGGGCCACATAAAATCCCAGCTCTGCTGAAGGAGGGCAGCCATAGCCAAGTCGGGGAAGATATGCCCCCATGGAGAAAGGGGGTGGGTGATGGAAGGAACTCAGGATGAGAACTCAGAAGGCTTATGTTTGAGTCCCAGGTCACTTCCTCTGAAATGGTATGATTTTGAGAATGTTAGTTAACCCCTCAGTTTCTAAGTATCTTTATTATGGGTTGGAGGAAGAAAAAGGAAAGCATTTTTTCCTGCCTCTGTCAAAGGGTTGTTGTGAAAATCACATAAGGTAACGTTTCGGAAGGAGTGTGCCATCTAAAAGTGCTTTGTATCTTTAAGGGATTCTTGTTCCATCCTTACTAGAGGCCCTCTCTGTCTCAGCAGGAATCCCTGGATTGGGGGGGTGGGGCGGGCACATTTAGGCCTTAAAATCAATACTACATAATAGAGTAAAATAGAACCATATTGGGCCAAATTGGGCTCCTGGAAAGACTTGCACCCACATTTTTTGTTTCTTTTTAACTACAAATATTCTTTGGGACCACTGCCTCTGGTGGAAGAGAATTGTCTTCTGGGTGGTATGGATGAGAAAGTTGCCAAACAAACCTGAATTATCCAGAGGCCTGTTAAATGCGCAATTGCTTTTTAAGAGGCATGGTGATATTGTGTGTTCCTTTCGATTTTTGGCAGTAACGATTTTCTGCAATTTGTGGTTTTGCAATTTCTCTTTACACAGACAACACTCTGGCTCTCATTCAATGCCCCACTGGTTGGGGGGAAGGGGGAGGAGAGAGAGAGAGATTCCCCGGGGCTCTGGCCACTCCAGGAAAAGAGGGAAATGTTAATGAAATAAGTCAGAAAGAATGCTCTAGACTAGTAGAAGCTGTTTGGTTAGTGGGGAAGAAACAACTTTTAATAAATTGCATGGTGTGGTTGGGATTTTATCTGGGGCTTTTGTCGGCTGGGCACAGGTCTTTTCCCCTTAGCTCTTCTTGACTATACTGAGCTTTGTCTGGATTGCAATCTCAACCTCATCTCCTCTTTTTTTTTCCTCTATTCAACTAGCCTGGTCCCTTCTACTGGCTCCCTTCGGCTTCTCCTGTCCTTGGTGGGATTCCCTTTAAATACTCCATCTCTAGGCATCCACTTGCCAATTGCATTAATAACTTGGTTCGTGTAAATTACCTGAAGATTCATGTGCCAGGATTTTTGCCCTAATTCCAGTTGCATCATCTTCTTCCCCAAGGCTGAAATCCTCTCTACAGAGGAAGGTCTGTAGTGTGCTGATGTAGCCTTTATCTAGACCAGAGTGATATGTTCTGTTTCTATTCATCACCTCTGGAAAGGTTTTGCTGATTTGTATTTGCTTTTTTATGACTGCTAGGCACTGTGCTGAAGGATTTAAAGCTGCATCCAGCGTAAACCTTGTATTCCTTCTTTGTTCACTTCTTTGTATCAAAACAGCCCACTGTTCTCCCCTGAGCAGATCCCCTGGGCTTATGCCCCTAGTTCCCAGGCTTTCTTTGCACAGAGGCAATTGCACAGGACATCTATTTCCTCTCTTTTCATGACCCAAATGTCACCGCTTCTTTTGCTTCTAGGAGCAACATAAAGATAATTGCTACTCATACGTTAATTGTAGTTTTTGCGTATTTGGGGCAAAGATGATCTTCCGGTCTATGTATTCTAAAAGTTTAGGGAATGGTTTGTGCTGTGCCATTATAAATCACAGGATTTTCGTTTTGGGGAGGATGGTTCAACATGCTGCAGTTCAACAGCCCACCCCAAGCCATCCTCCTCACATCTTCCCTTAGGACCCACTCCCTAGTCCGTGGAAGTCCAACCCATTTTTAAATAGCTCAACACTTCCAACTTTCTTTTACTAACCTGAGATAACCTTCAGGTGGTTCTTGCTAGTTTTGCCTTCTGGAGCAGCTCAGAAGTTGACTTCTTCTTCCACATGACAACCCTCCAAATATTTTGGAATCTGATCCCATGTACTCTCTCTGAGCCTTCCTTGTCCACGATAAACATCCCCCATTGCTTCAGCCATCCTTCATATGACTTGGTTTAGCTACCCTTTCCATTTGCCCCAGTCACATTTTTCAGTGTCCCTCTTAAAATAATAATAATAATAATAATAATAATACCAAGATGGCTGCCCATCACAGAGCCCCAAGAAGGGAAAAAAAAAAAAAAAAAAAGTTCTCGTTCCGGACATTGTTATTTCTATTACTATAACCTGAGTATATCACAAATTTTTTTTTAATAATTTTTTTTATTGTTCTGTTAACCACCATACATTACATCATTAGTTTTTGATGCAGTGTTCCATGATTCATTGTTTGTGCATAACACCCAGTGCTCCACGCAGAATGTGCCCTCTTTAATACCCATCACCAGGCTAACCCATCCCCCACCCCCCTCCCCTCTAGAACCCTCAGTTTGTTTTTCAGAGTCCATCGTCTCTGATGGTTCGTCTCCCCCTCCGACTTACTCCCCTTCATTCTTCCCCTCCTGCTATCTTCTTCTTCTTCTTCTTCTTTTTCTAAACATATATTGCATTATTTGTTTCAGAAGTACAGATCCGTGATTCATCAGTCTTGTACAATTCACAGTGCTCACCATAGCACATACCCTCCCCGATGTTATCACAAATTTTAATAGCACTTTAGTCCTGAGGTTAATCCTAAAGCCTCTAGATGTGCTATATAAAAGCTGCTATAAAAACAGATTTTTTTCCAGTCCTATATTTATGCACTTGGTTTTGAATACTACATAAACCTGTACATTTATTCCTGTGACACTTATTAGTTTCAGAATACTAGTGGAAACTCTTAGGAGCTTTTTGAATTTTACTTTAAAGCTAACTGTTTCAGTTTTGGGATATATTTGATTTG